TACACAAGACTGTTTTCTTAAGTTGGAAAGTGTTGAGTCTCTCAATCTTAGAGGATTACTTCAATTTTATTTCTGGTTCTTATTGTTGTATACTTTGTTTTATTCTTTTAAAGTGTGAATAAAAGACAAAGATAACACGACGTACTCTTCTCCATTACAACAACCAACCTCAATGAATCTAGAGGTTACCTTGCAATGCCTTCCTATTGTCTTTCTGACCTCAGAATATCATAAGGAATTCATTTAGGGAACTGGCTAATACTTCTCACCTGTTTCATAAAGCATTCTGGTGTTAAGATAAAGGTATTCACATGTAGTTTCTTGATCTGCAATAATATCTGCACTTTTCTGTAACCATTCTCTGTCCACAGGCCAAAGGATGAGCCATGATTGCATCTCCGAGCTTCAGGTGAACAATCAAAAATTACTCGTAAAAAAATCAAACTATTTTCCTAAAAACCTTACTGGTGGCTGTACTCCATCATCATGTTCTTCTGAACCACTTAAATACAGTGGGCCTGCATGAAATCACCCTACTCTGTGCATCAGGTTCATCTCTGATAACCAGCTTGTGAATCCTAGTTTGTGAAATCATATTTTGCTGTTGTAATTCTTTTTCACTAACCTGCGTAACTAATACTTAGAACCAATGAAGTGTTTATCAACAAATTTCCACCATATGCTTTTTCTGATGTACTTTAAAATATTACAATTTGCACGAATTAGGTTCCACAGCTACATGATTTCTGAATGCACAGTCAATTTGACAACACCGTTAAATTTACTTCAAATTAACTTTGAAATGACTTATAACACATGATCTTTAAGTGGAAATAGGGTATGGTGGTGGTGGTCTGTGGAAGACAAGCTTGCCAGCTTGCCTGTTAAAAATGTAGATTCAGGATTCCTTCAATCTTGTAAAGGAATAAAGAGTCTACCACCATCTACTCAAAGCACTTTCTCAATGAGAACACTTATTTGTTTTCATTCCCCTTTCTTGCTCTTGCATCATCAAATCTTTTATCCCATCTAGCAATACCAACACGGATGCAAATGGCACAGGTGCAATATCGCAATCCCTTACCAAGGAAATTCCTGTAAGAGTTTGCTCTTCTGATTTTATTCAGGAAGGCAGCAGATGCCTTATCAGGATGATACCGTTTAGTGTGGTCGATAAGCCTCTGGACACAGTTATGACCCTTCATCGCCAACCAACATAGTTTGCATCATACTCCTTTAATACAGTACCCAGCAAATTCAGGAACATCCATTGTAAGAGCCATAGAATGTTCTATCAATATCTTGGTGGTCTTACCATTACATAATCCATCCTCTTCTAGGCTGCACACATCTGAAACATTGCCGTGAGAAAGGTTGTAGTTCCATGGACTTTGCAGATCGATATTCCAAAGAATTCCGATAAAGCTGAAATGCAGAAGAATGCAGGGAACAAGAAAACGGAATTCACCATGTTTCGCATGCTTCGCATTCCTCTACATGTCAATTTTCTTGCTCCTGGCCGCAGAGGATGTTGCTGTTCGCACAGCCAACGCCAGTGGAGAAGAACAAGACGAGCCCAGTCTGATCCGTCTGATCTGATCATCTTGAATCACTTGGATTGGATGCATCGGAAGCAACGCCGCGGTGGGCGCGCGCGCAGGGGCCGAACGATGCCCCCGGCCGGGGCGAGGGCCCGGAGGAGCTCCAGCGCAGGGCGCTGCGGGCGGCTCCGCCACCGCAGCAGGAGCCGATCCGTGAGGTAGTCGAACCGCCGGACGATCGGCCACTCCCCCGCCTCTACGAGGAGAGAGAGGATGGGGGTGGAAGGCAAGGCGCCAAGGGCCGTGCGATGGGCGGCCTTACAGATGCGTTGGATAGAGTTGACGTCACGTCGAGTGCGGGGGCCGAAGAGGCCCGCGCCGCGTAGTTCAGGGCGGCGCGGATCGTGGACTGGTAAAGTTCTGTAATCACCAATCCATTTTCTGCACAGAAAAGACACGACAAGCGTCGCCGTGGCGCTGGGCGCAATGAGCATCGCCGTGCAGCGAGCAGCACCAGCAGGTCCAGGTCCAGCACGCCTGATCGGTGCCAAGACTCAGGGCGTGTTGGACGCCGTCGACGCCGTAGCGGGTCGCGCAGCCCTCGCGGTGGCCGCCATGGGCGAGTTGATCGCCGACGTGCAGGGAGCAGCACCAGCAGGTCCAGCACGCCTGATCGGCGCCAAGACTCAGGGCGCGTTGGACGCCGTCGACGCCGTAGCGGGTCGCGCAGTCCTCGCGGTGGCCGCCGTGGCGCTGGACGCGATGACCATCGACATCGCCCACATCGCTTCAGTGACGATGAATCGAGCGGCAGCGACGCGTCATCGGTGCTGTTCGAGGAGGAGACAGATTCCGAAGAAGAGGTATGCAATATATTTTTAGAGAGTCTGTAAGACTTCCAGTCTCTACCCTCCCTTCTCCTGCTCTTTCTCCTATACAGTGCTCATACTGGTCTGGGCAGTCAGGGGAAAAAAGGTGTCTGGAAGTCAGGGAAAAGTCAAGGAAATTTAATTTAACTTTCCCGTGAGGGCAATTGCTCCTATTGCACTCAGAAAAGTCAGGGGAAATCCGGATATATTTGTCTTAAAGTCTGGGAAAAGGCAGGAAAAAATAGAATTAGAGATCTGGTATAAACCCTGCCTACAGAACACGGTCACACAGGGCTCAGTTGGCGTTGGAAGCAGTGCCTCCACAAGGCATTATATTTGGAGGCACTGGCACTGGTTCGTAGGCCAGCGCTGGGAGAGGGGGGGGGGGCTTTCCCCCCTCAACCACCTGGATGGGAGTTTGTGTGTGGCGACGACGACGATGCATCTTGGGCAGGTCTGCGCTGACATGCCCCCCAACCCTCTTTCCCCCACCTGTCTCTTTGTAGTCCTGTGGGCTATTTCTCCTCTCTGTAATTAATAAGTTCACCAATTTATCTGGAAATTTAGAAATTATCCTTCAAGTAGTACGATGCCTTCTAACGACAAAGTCCGATGTGTTGCGCTCCCGTT